TCTTTTATTTTTTATGAATTTTCAACTTATATATTTTGTTTTTATTTTTATATATCTAACTGTGATACAAATTTATTATTGGTGTAACTATTTAACAAGTTAAAAGTTATATTCACCAAACATTTGTATAGTTTCACCTTACAGTGATACTAAATAATAAACAACGAAATCCCTCTTTTTATGTAACTTTTGCAACCGGTTAGTCAGGTTTAGCTGAATCAACAGGTATATACAGAAAGATTAATTTTCTAACTTTAAGAAAATATTTGCCATTCTTCGTCATACCTATTATCTCATACTGAGGCCTTAACAAACGGACCAATTTTTCATCCTTTAGGTTACCGACTTCTCACTTTCTATACGCATTAGAGCGGGTGTTCTTCGGGGACGCATACTTGGCACAGTTCCATTTTCAATATAAACTGCACATAGTAGTAAAACTATATATGTTAACATTTCATCACGCACATTCACTGATGATACAAAAAACGTAATTCGGACTACTTAATTAACGCTTAAGACTTACAAAAACACATGAATGTATTAACAGTATGGTTCACATTTTCAAGACTGAAGATAAAAGTAATAGTCCTACGGTGAGTATAAATGGAACCCCCATTGACTACCACTGATTTTCTGCGTTATCTTGAACTTTTCGTAGATAAATGAGTGATTTGGTGATTCAAAAAGTTATAAAAAATACTACTGGTCTCACGATTAGAGGTAGATATTGAAAACAAATTTTTAATTTACAAATCAACGATTAGACCTCCCCTCATAATTGCCAATGTCTCATTCAGTATAAAATTCTCTGTCAAATTAAAAATGCTTCTTTCTATGTTTCAAATTACACTATTCATAACGACCTACATATCCTGTTTGTACATGCGCTCGTCAAACTCCGCTATAAAAAATTTCATCATTCACTGAAAATCCACAATAACGTGTTTGGGATCTGGTTTTTGGTTAGGTAGAAAAAGAATAGACTCTGTGATCACTTGCCAAAGTTTCGGCATTTATAAGACAAATTTTGTCATATTTTTAACTTGTCGATTTGTGTGATGTTTAGTGACCGTTAGTAAATGATTATTCGGATATCGTGAGTTGCGGTCTGGTGTTACGTAGGTCTTAGAAAAACATTTTCTTTATCGTGCCAGCGTTTCGATCTTTATTGAGATCATCTCCAGAGCCTGGGATTTATAAACATTGTTTGAATTTTATAAATACATGTAGGAAGAAATGAATTTATGCAATGCTAGAAATTTGACACTTTGAGAAAGTACAAATTCTTTGATTGAATATAAAATTTTCTAGTATTGTAAAATTAATTTTTTTACAACCTGCATGTATTTGTAAAATGTAACGTGTAATTTTCATGTGTCTTCACTCAATGACTCCCAACACAACAGGTAAGAATGACACATCTACACGGAAAACAAACACTTTGAGCCCTGAAGATGGTCTCAATAAAAATCGAAACGTTGGCACGATAAAGAAAATATTTTTGTAAAACCTGCTTCAACCCACACCGTATCTCACGATCTCCAAACAATTGTTTTCAAAAGATTGATTGTTTTATTAGATGCTGATATTATATAACATTTATAGTAAAATATGTATTAAAAATGTTTTACCATAGAATAAGCTAGAGTTATGTGTCCATTTTTCATTTCAAACAAAACGGTAACTGTGTTGAGTAAGATTCAAGAAATCTGCACAACTCAGTTTGCTACCAAGAATTTTAGTTATTTATTTTGTGTGGTGATTTGTGACCGTTAATCGATATTTATTTAGAAATCGTGAGATGGGGTCTGGTGTGATGTAGGATTCAAAAAAACATTTTCTTTACACTCACATTGTTGGCACTCTCGACACGACACGCAAGAATGGCACAATTACACAGAAGACAAACACTTTGAGCCCTGAAGATGATCTCAATAAAGGTCGAAACGTTGGCACGACAAAGAAAATGTTTTTCTGAATCCTACATCACACCAAACCGCATTTCACGATTTCTAAATAAATAGTTAATTATTTTCTATTCATTAGACAATACAACCATTCTTCAACTACCAAATCCCTATATGTAAATATTCCGTAGTAATTATACATATTTATATTGGTGGTTCTTTTTTTCTTACTTTTAACAAAAATTGTGACAGGACAGTTTTATTAACTCCTGCATTACAACATGTATTTTGCTGACATTCTAATAACGGACACAATTGATTTATCGATTTTTCTAATAACAATTCCCTCATCAGTGGTCAACAATATTCAAAACAATTCAGGATTCCACGAATGCCAGAGAAAGTGGTTGAGAAGTCCGTGAGAAAAGGAAAATTAGTGTCGGTCCTCTGATCCCTGAGTATACAGATGTCAATATTTCAGAAGGTAATGCTACATGGCAAATTGGACTAAAAAGTTCCTATTGCTCGAAGTCTGACTCTCAATCATATTCGAGAAGTTTCACTTTTTAGATTACTTCAAATTTTAACAATTTTATAACTTTAGTATCTTATTTTCTACTTAATTATTCCAGTTCATTTTAATATTTTTAATTTTGAGAACTTAATAGAAAAAGCACTGGAAACGCTATGAGATCAATTTAAATTTTTGTGGTAACCTTACGAAAATAAAATAGGAAATCACTTAGATTATAAACTACGATGCTTATAAAAATTTTTCGTCTAAATTTAAAATTTCCTTCATTCTGTAAATATTTATAAATAGACAATTTTCTTTATGGTTAGCTGTAAATACATGCACAAAATTTTTGAAAGTCAGTTATTACGAATGCAAAATTAATGTTTATTTGATAAAAATTTGAAGTTTTTCACCATTATAGAAAAAAAATTTTAAAGAAAATTTAAAAATGAATTATATTTAGTTCCTGTCACAACTTAGGAAAACGTTAACGTAAGTATATTTACCGAATGATTAACAAATTTACGCTAGGTTTAAGATTTTATGAGACAAAGTTATGAAAGTGTGGATTAATGTGAAAATTGAACTATTTGAAATACAGTTGAGAATTAATCTAAAAATCAAACTTTTTAGCATATTTTGAGACTTGTAGGTAATGACGTCGATTCACGAAACACCCTGTATATGTTTTTTATGTATTAAAATATTTCAGAAGTTTTTGGAGACTTTATACCGCCATCCGTCGACGCCCGTTGCCTCTAGCTAGGACATTCTTCATGACCATGTACGCATCTATAGTATTTAGGCAGTCATGTATTTGTAAAATTTAAACAATATTTATACATCCCAGTCCCTGAAGATGATCTCAATAAAGATCGAAACGTTGGCACGATAAAGAAAGTGTTTTTCTGAAACCTACATCACACCAGACCGCATCTCACGATGTCAGTATAATCATTGACTAACGTTCACGAAACACCACACATTTGTTTATTCTGTTGCATAGGAGTTGTTATTTCTCTCAATTTTTCTTTTTTTTACGTTTTAGTGGTCAATTGACCAAGTTATTTCTTTCAATTCATTATTATTTCTATGTAAGGTCTTGGTAGAGGTAAAAAAAAATCAGTGTCAAGAGCGAGATTCGAACCCACGACCTTCGGCTAAAGATGCCGCACCTCTACCACTTGAGCTATCGTGACTTCCATCCTCTCGGACCAACTCTCCATCTCAACCTAAACCGTTCGAATTTTGACAAATAGACAATTTCCTTCACTGGTTAGCTGTAAATATGCACAAAATTTTCGAAAGTCAGTTATCACGAATGCAAAATTAAAGTTTAGCTGATAAAAACTGAATTTTTTTAACCATTATACATTTCTGTATATGGGGAAATTTTAAAAATGAAGTCTATTTCCTTTCTGTCAAAACGTAGGATAACTTAAACATAAGTATATTTACCGAATGATTAACAAATTTACGCTAGGATGAACTTTTTCCATCCTATTTCTCATATTAACATTACAGAATGACGAAAAAACCATCCGACATCGACTACGAGGTCATGAAGTACATGTGGTTCGTTAAGTTGAAATTTTTCGTATAATTGATCTAAAACTAGATTAAACGACAATTGCAATAATAAAATAGGTCGTTTTTTAAAAGAATTACCAAAGATAGGGTCTCCCCAAAATGCAAGTCCAGTCGATAACGAAAACGTTATGCGTAGGAGGTAATTCTGCTCGCACAGTCCTAATCCACTGCCCACACAAGTCAAGAAGCCATTTTGAGGACTATCAGGCCCCGATGATGGTCTTATAAAGGCCGAAAGCTTGGCAAGTAATCACAGAGTCTACTTCTTTCTCTACCTGACCAGAAACCAGACCCGAAATACATTAATCGTCGTGGTCGATTTCTTGTTCATGAACATCCACAATAATAAACTAGAACGACAGTTATTCATCATCGCTAGCAGAAAATACTGCAAGAGCATTGAAGCAAAAATGACCCGGAGACCTTCTCATTCAATGAAGATTGACGAGGTTTCAGCGTGAATCTTTTCGAAGAAATTCAAAAGACAAATTCAGCATATGAACATATTTACTTAATCCAATATCTGTAGTTGTAAGTATCGAATCAATGAATTAAAAACATATTTTTTCCGTAATTAAAAAACTAATTATTGCCATGTTTAAAAGCAGAGCTAAAAAAATCTGTTTACTTTTGATATGATACCAAGTTGAACTTGAATTTCATGTGAAAATTTGTATACTCTGTTATTTGCTATAGTTGCTTTAAAGTATGCATTTTTAATAAAGATTAATTAATTATATAGTGTTTTATATTCGGTGAAACTTTGTTGATCCCGATTCTCCATTAAGAAAGTGAACCATAGTAGAAAGCCATCAAATTAATCCTCCGATGAACCACTTAGGCTAATAGGTTCGAATCGCCTCTTTTGTAACTAGAAAGGATAGTTATTCGACCTTTCCTACTTCTCGGATAACTCTAGTTTACTTTGCTTGTTTTTGCTCGTTTTTAATTAAGAGATAAAAGATTTTCTTTAAGGGACTCACCTCCTTGAAGGGTCGGGTATATGAAGAAAGAAGGCTCTTGCAACCAAGAAACTACTTTCACCAAATCCCTTGCAGTCCGGTCAATAACACACTGAAGCACTGCCGTACAACCCTTTGTCACTCTTTGCATCTGAATCGTCACTTTGTACGATTGCGTTACCACTGAAACAAAACAAAAAAACATTAAACATAATAATTTATGAAAAAATTCACCAGTTGTTTTTTTAAATACACTATAGTCCATTTTAATCAAAATTAGATAGAATTGATTATACTTTTGTTAAATAAATTTATGTTAACTAGAGAGGAGGACTTTTTGCTTGTAATAATTGTACAATTCTATTTATAAATTAACTAGTTTTCGTGGTCCGCTTGACCAATTATATAAAATTCAATTAATTAATGTTTTTAGTCGAGATAAAAAAATCAGTGTCACGAGCGGGATTCGAACCCACGACCTTCGGCTAGATACGCCGTTGCTCTCCCACGTGAGGTATCGTGACTTCGATCCACTCGGACACTAACTTCCCATCTCAACCCCACCTTTTGAATTTTCCTTCCTTTTTGCCATTTTTCAAATGTCGTGTAATCTATTTGATTCTCGGCGACAAATGAAATGGCCATGAAGAGCTTTAGTGAAGGAATACTTCATTAAACTTATTAAATTCACTAGTTTCGTGGTCCGCTTGACCAATTAATATATTTCAATTAATTAAGGTTTTTAGTTCAGATAAAAATGTCAGCGTCAGGAGCGGGATTCGAACCACGATCTTCGACCTGATACGACGCTGCTCTACCGTTTGACCTATCGTGACCTCTCGGACACCAACTTCCCATCTCAACCAACCTTTCGAATTTTCCCTCATTTTTTGCCTTTTTTCAAATGTCGTGTGGATCAGGATTCGATTCTCGGCTACAAATGAAATGGCCACGGGGAGCTTTGGTGAAGATATATTCTGTTCTACTTATGAAATCCATTATATTTCGTGGTCCGATTGACGAAATAACTTTTTTGAATTAATTAATCTTTTTGTAAGATTCTAAGTTCTAAGGTAAGTTCTGAAACGTAATTAACAAAGTTGCTATGTAATAAAACACAAATCTATATTGATGATAAGTAATTTGAAAAACGTATTGCACGCATTATAATAAGTAAAAAGAAAAAATAATAAGGAACAACAATAATAATAATTCACTAGTTTTCGTGGTCCGCTTTACTAATTAACACCTTTCAATTAATTAAGGATTAATTAATTATTCTTTCTATTTAAGGTTTTGGTTGAGATAAAAAAGTCAGTGTCACGGGCGGGATTCGCACCCACGATCTTCGGAGAGACGCCGCTGCTCTACCACTTGAGCTATCGTGACCTCGATCCACTCGGACACTAACTTCCCATCTCAACCCCACCTTTTGAATTTTCCCTCCTTTTTGCCATTTTTCTGCTTATAAATACATACTCATGTATATACAGATATAATTATAGAGCACCAGGTTTTTAACATCTCGATCGTTTAAACAGTAAAACTCCAGGAAATATTAATGCTTGTTGTCCTGTAAAATAATGATATTTGAGTTATTCCAATTGCCATTCCTGTTTTGTAATGAATGGATTGTTCTTGTTGGAGTTCTCTGATGACTGGAATATACAGCTTAAACGCCGCCTACAATTGAAAGGCGAGTTTTCATAGCTTTACGTTGATTATGTCAGTTTTGGGCAATAGGTTTAGGAAATTTAATGATTCGGGCCTGTAGAGTGTTTCGCTTTCAACTTGATTTGTGTACAGATTTCCCTGTGAACGGACATCAATACTTCAAGAGGTAATTATTCGTGACAAATGGTGCTGAAAAGTCCTTATTATCCAAAGTCCGATTCCCAATTGTATTCGAGATATTTCACTTTCTCTTTTACTTCGACAATTCAACAACTTTTTCCAATTATGCCATCGTCTCTTTTAAAATATTAAGCCTACCGTCAATTTGAGTACATTAAAGGAAAGATAATTAAAAGCTAGATATGATTGGATTTTATTTATTGTAAACTTGATGAATGAATATATAAAACCAGAACGTACATTTTTACGATTTTGTAAAGTTTCTGTCTGTAAGGTTTAAGTACGATTTTGTAAAGTTTCTGTCTGTAAGGTTTAAGTTAGATTCTCTCTCTCTCTCTCTCTCTCTCTCTCTCTCTCTCTCTCTCTCTCTCTCTCTAAATACTGGTTGATATGGCACTTTCAGAAAATTCGACCCTAGGAATGAGCTTTAGATATATGTAGCTAATTTTTCATGGGCCTGTTATTATCAATTCACGATTAATTTCTAAAAAAATTAAGTTAATACAAAGTAAACAAAACAGTCCCTATGAAAAAAATTGAACTTATGTAAAAATAACCAGAAATACTCTTTTGACTTGGAGAGCTTAAATTCCAGTGATTGTGTCGCGAGGCGTTGTAGCTCCCAATTTGCAAATAAGGGGGTATTCACGATCTTTGTATTAACCCTGTTAACTTTGTTAGGTCGTTCAGATCGAGAAAAATGATTACATAGACTTCTAAGAATCGACTAGTTAACATGCCTCGATCTAACAGGCCAGGGCTAATATTTGATTTTAGGTCGAATGTGTAGTCACATTGTTATCCGTTAGGGCGTACGTAACCAACATTGCAGCCATGCATTAAACAGCTGTTTTTTGTTTATACGTAATACGCATTAATTTAATCAGAACAATGCATTTATTTTGTTAATTTCTGACCTATCCTTACACTGCCATACATAACAGATACATCCCATATGCTATAAAATTGTAGGCTGTTAGACGTTACGATAGAGGTTAGGTATGTCGGCACGAATTGAAGCGTGTCATTTGTTATTACTTTTCAAGTGCATAGATAGCATTTTGAATGAAACAGATGGTTAATTTACTTTTATAAATTATCTTCTGGCATCTTACAATTAAACACAAAAGAAAACCAAAACAAACAAAACTTCAAGGGGGCGTCGGTGGCCGCAACCGCGTTGACACGGCGGTCCTCACTGTAAGGTAAAGGTCCCGTGTTCAAATCCAGCAGCCCCGCATTCGAAAGCACATAGTTACAAATGGGCTTTTTTTTAAAAACACCGGCACCCTGAGGGTTTATATGACTTCTGCTGTGGGGAACCCTCGTTAAAAAAAACGTTCATGATCTTACTGTGCATTTCTTTATTCGAATTAATACGAGTTAACATTTTACAAACATCGTGAATACTCTTTATATCTTCCAGTCACGTGTTGTCATTTTAAATTGCGGATAGTAAACAAAATTAGTAAATAAAAAAACAATTTCATTGGAAACCTAGAGCTTGGCACAAGATGGGAAAAGCTTCATCACTGGAAAAACAGACCTCCAGTAAATCTATTATTGATAAGATAGGCAGAGCTGACAAGCGTTCTAAAAATGACAGCAAATTCCAACATCACGGCATCGTTTGTTTTTTTTGAACGTGAACGTGGGTTACAGTTAACAGTAAATATTTTCTTTATTTTTTTATTTAAGTTTCAACTTAATACAGACAATAAATAAATCTACGTTTCCAATTTATGATACGACATAACATAAGATAACGTAAGATTACCACTTAATACTTACATTAAAATCTTCCATTATTTTAGTTATATTTAATTTCCCAAATCAAAATTGTTTATATGTTAATTGTTAGTTAATTTATATGTTTAATTATATTTTTATGGTAAATCCAGCTTTTCAAAAAATATTTATTTAGAAATCGTGAGATGCGTTCTGGTGTGATGTAGGTTTAACGCACGATAAAGAAAATGTTTTTCTGAAACCTACATCACACCAGACCGCATCTCACGATTTCTAAATAAATATCGATTAACGGTCACTAATCACCACACTTTTCAAAAAATCTTCGACTTTTTCTTTTATTATCCTCTTGATAGAAGTAACAGTGGTGTAATTGTGAAGTTTGCTTATTTGAATATATCTGCGTGGATCAGTAGATGCATGATAAATTTATTTTGTATCTGGCTCGTGCGTAGATCATTACTACCAAGTCTTACCAAAACTTTGTGTAATAATACTTTATTCTTGGGTACTTGCTGGTGGGCCAATCCCCCCCCTCAGGTTTTCGTTATGCATGGAAAGGTTGCTCCGTGTCTCACATAGTCAAATCGTGTCGTGCCATGGCTCCCTAAAGGGCGCGTGAATGCCTGCCGCCAGATTTAAAGAGGGTTCTCGGACACTACAGCGAGTTTTATGGTCCCCTATTCCGCTTTTTAAGGGAATTAGGAATTTTTTATTGTACATAGAAGTTACGGTATGTGTTTTGTGTTTCGGCGTCTTGTATGAGTGAATGTATTTATTGGTGTGAATAGGGAGGGTCTAATGGCGAAATAGCTTCTGAATCGCCTCTCAGGTTGTGTGTATGACTTGGGCTGATGGAGGAAATTTTATAAATACTCCATCGACCCCAGTCTAGATTAGTTTATTATAGGGAATAGGTAGATGCAGGAATATCGAGTACTCCATTTACCAAATAGTATAAGTATGAATGTATTTATTGGTGTGATTGTGTATCGAGTGTGTAGCGGTATTATGTTAGTGCTTCGCGGACCAAGCTGTCGGATGTCCCTGTCAAAAAAAAAATCTTTATTGCCAACACAGTTTCCAACTTGTACTGCTCCTGTAATGCGACCAACTGTACTAAAAAACCTTTAATTTCGATGTCAATGAAACTAAAGGTATCGATATAGTTATTCTACTATGTGTCCATGCGTGGTATTTTTCCACCCTCTATTGTTACATTATGGTGCAGGATTGGCCACTTTTTGTACGAATTTGAATTTGGATTTGTTAATTTCATAATTGTACGTACATAAATACAAAAATGTACAGAATTGAGCCTATCTAGAAGTTCACCGACAATTCCCACTTTTGGAATATACAAAAAATTGCCGGCAGGCCTCGGTAACCAACAACCCGTGCGTTGACAATCCTGGAGTAGACCTCGGCCTTATCCGTTCACCCATCGTAGTTGGGATCCGCTCGTGGGTGCTGTCAATAGCCAGGTCATTTCATCAGGCAACATACGCAGTTCCAAACCTATTAGTACTCACGTTCATTATTTTTTATTAACATACCATTCATTCAATAAGGATGGTGGA